GTGTGTCGACTTCTTTCGTTGTGTGTGTGTGTGTGTGTGTGTGTGTGTGTGTGTGTGTGTGTGTGTGTGTGTGTGTGGTGGTGTGTGTTTTTTTTTTGGGGGGGGGGAATCCTTTTTACGGATTCTAGGCATAGCTGTTGGCCTGGATATGTGGCGACCCGACGCAGCGTCATACTAAAACTCGACGCTGACGCCCCTACCCACTAAACCCTAAACCCCTTTCTCTTCTATTCTCTGATCCCCCATGGTACCGCCGTAAGGCATTTCTTCGCGGGGGGAGAAATTAGCTGCCGCTCTTCCTTCTGGTGGCTAAAATGTTATTTCTTCCTTCTAGATTCGATATTTCGCTCTTTTCTTCTCAATGGATCGCAACTCGGTAAGCACTTTTGTAGCAAAAATGCTTGTGGCGTTCCAGGCAGCTTCTGACGACAACATTGCCTCTACTATTGACTCTGGTTAGGTTCTCTTCTTCAGAATCTTCTCTAACTCATTGCGCTGTAGGTTGAAACGTGGACACATAAAGAAGACATGCTCCGCATCTTCATTGACCCCTGGACAGGACGAGCACTCTGGGGTATCATCGTGCTTAAAGCGGTGGAGATACTTCCGGTAACATCCGTGTCCTGATAACATCTGCGTTAAATAATAGTTCATCTCACCGTGACTCCGGTTGAACCACACATCAACCCGAGGTATGAGACGGTACGTCCACCGACCCTTATCTGAAGCATTCCACTCTTGTTGCCATCTTGCGATGCTGTGTTGCCGTTCTTCGCTTCTAAGTTCTTCAGGGCTCAGTGTGGTTGACCTTTTTCGTTGATATAGGTTCCGTCTTTCCTCAGCTAGGACTCTGAGAGGCAGAGTATCGGAAATAACACACACTGCTTCCTCTGATATTGTGCGAAAGGCGCTAGCTACTCGTAGGGCACTCAGTCAATATACTGGTCCAGCCTTTCTCCATGATTCTTACGTCTTTAATGCGTCGGCCCAAATGGATATTCCGTAAGTGAGCACCGATGTGACTACTGATGACAGTTATAGCCTCCTGCTCTGCTTTGGGCCTCCGACGTTCGGCATCAGTCGTGCGAGACTAGCCCTCACTACTGACGCTTTGGCACTGACATGCTCCACTTGCTGCTTGAAGTTGAGTCGGGCATCAAACATCACTTCCAAATATCGGATATAAGGTTGTGATATGATTTCTTGTTCGCCGACTTTCAGCTTAATGGTCTCTACCATTTTTCTGCTGGTAATAAGCACTGCCTCAGTCTTGTGTTACGCCATTTGCAGGTTCACTGCGTCCATCCACCGGTTAACGCGCTCAAAAGTGAGATCAAACATATGGTTTATCTCGTCAAGGTGTTTGGCAACAATCACTACGGCTACGTCATCTGCATATGCTACGAGTTTGACGTTTCTTGGCAGAGTTAGTCTTAATAGACCGTCATACATAATATTCCACAGGAGCGGGCCTAGAACTGAACCTTGTGGTACATCTCCAGTAATATCATACTCCCTCGGACCGTTCTTCGTGTCATACTTCAAGACCCTATTTTCAAAGTAGTTTGTTACGGTCTTAAGAAGGTATTCTGGTACATTCTTCTCTTGGAGGGCCTGCATGATGCATTCCTAATTGGCGGAGTTGAATGCGTTTTTGATGTCTAGGGTCGCCACCAGGCAATACTCTTTCGTTCCACCCTTCCATCTAGTTCCTGCGATTGCTTCCTTGGCCGTATCAACAACCAGTTTGATTGCGTCCAGGGTTGATCGTCCTTTCCGGAATCCATACTGATTGTCTGCCAGGAGTGGGTCGACTACTGCTTCAATTCTCTGGTGAGTTGTGCGTTCAAATATCTTACCCGCTGTATCTAGCATGCAAAGTGGGCGGTAAGATGACGGTTCATCCGGTGGTTTCTTCCCTTTAGGTAACAGTACCAATCGTTGCTGTTTCCACTTATGCGGGAAAGTCCCCTCCTTAAGGCATGCATGATCAACGTCTAGGAATAATGTTGGAGCTGCCTTTATGATGGTTTTCAAGGCTATATTAGGGATTCCGTCCAATCCCGGCGCTTTATTATTCCCTACACGGTTACAGGCCTCCAGCAGTTCTTCTTCAGTGACAGGTGGAGTGTCGTCCAGTTCGACTGGCGCCAACTGGTAATCGAAGTTGCGTTGCTGTGGGAACAGTGCAGTGACGATTTTCTGGAGAAGTTGAGGACACGTAGGTGATGGCATTTGTTGTTTTTTTAGGTGGGTCATAACCACCTTATAAGGCCTACCCCACACGTCTTTATCCACCTCGTATATGAGCTCTTTCCAGCATTGTCTCTTACTATCCTTGATGGCTTTGTTCAATGATCGACGGGCTTTTTTGTATTCTGCGACCAGCTCCGCAGAGTTAGGTCGTCGATAGCCACGCTGGGATATTCTTCTTTTCTTTAGACACTCTTTCCGAAGAACACTGATGTGGTCGTTCCACAATGTACTGCCGGGCGTTGGCTTATGCTGTGTTTCTGGACCATACTGGCGTCACAGGCCTGGACAACTCTTTTCATCAGGTCCTTGGTCATTTCTTCTGCGGATCCAGTAGTAATCGGTTCACTATTAATGGCTATTACCAATGTGCTTGTGTCAAAAGACTTCACTTTTTATCCAATGGTATTGAGTGACTTGATTGGTCTTCTTGTATTCCGGTCATGTGATATTTCCCAGAGAATTGCCTTGTAGTCACTGGCTGTGTAGATATCCATCACCTTCCAGTCGTATTTCCCACTGATGAGGCTGCTGCTGACGAAAGTGAGATCTACGATAGAGCTTGCTTCTCCTTTAGTATAGGTTGGCGTATCACCACTGTTGAGCTGGACTACATCTAGTGTAGAGAAAGCTTTTAGGAGTACTTTTCCTCGCGCATTTGTCTGCTTGCTGCCCCAGTCTACTGCCCAGGAGTTGAAGTCACCGGCAATCGCGACCGGATAATGCTGCTTGGCGTCCTCGGTCAGTTTGTTCAAGAATTCAGTGAATTCAACAATGGATAGGCTAGGTGGTGCATAACAGCGTTAGAAACGGATGCCGTTAACTGTTGCTGCTACAAAGCCGGCATTATCATTGTTAACTACACTCTGGAAGGGATGCTTACCACAAGAACAGATGACAGCCTTGGCGGTGCTGTCAGATTCCCAAGGCTGGGTATTCAGGTGTCTGTATGGCTCTGCTATCATTACTAAGTCTAACTCTAGTTCTCTTGCTGTTTGCATAAGCAGATCATGTGCAGCTTCGCAATGGTTTAGGTTTAGCTGCAATATCTTTATGTCTGTTTGTTTGTTATCTTCTGGAGTGCCTCTTTAAATACTGGGCACCTGGATGCGCCGGCATGATGAGCCGAGTTCTCCGCACTTTGATCCGCGTATAATACACATTTCGCTGGGTTTTCGCATTCAGCAATCTTGTGTCCCTCTTGTCCGCACCTAATACATAGCTTAGACCAATCTACATTGCTCTTGCACTGGGATCCAAGGTGTCCAAAGTGCCAGCACTTCAAACATTGGATTGGTCTCCTCGTAGCTCTGATTCGGCAATTGGCCCAGCCGATCCGGACTTTACCGCTTCCTGTCAATATCTTCCGCGCTGCAGCTGCTGGTAGTGTCACAACAGCTTTCTGAGTACCTCTGTAGGCCTTATGGATCTTAATTGTCCCTAGTGGTATCTCGCAGGTTTCTCCGATTTCCGTTTGCAAGGCAGCCTGAATATCCTCCTTGGTTGTGGAACCGTCAAGATCTCGGATTTCGACGTCTTCCTGTGGTCCTTTGCAGATTACCTTCGCGTCTTCTTGGAGGATGTCTGCGATGGTCTTCTGTAAGGCTTGACCTCGGTCAGTGCTCTTCCTCGAAAGCGTAATCAGCAAGCTCCCGGTCCTAGTTCTTTGAATCATCCACTGTAGTACAGACCTGTTCGTCAGGGACGTCCTGCCTTTTATTCGCTTCAGAATTTCAGCATACTTTGCCGTCTCTGCGGGGCGGATGATCAATGCGTCCGGCCTGATCCGTTTGCGCGGTTTTTTCCGATTAGGCTCTGGCCTGGACTCCTTCGGCGGTTGCTTCTGGAGCTTTTTTTCTGCTTGCTCTTTCTTGGACTTCCTTGACTGGACTTTTTGCCATTCATTCACCTCCTTTTTTCCGCCGTTCTGTGTTACCGCGTTTTTCGGAGGACTTGGTTTAAGGTCCTTCTTCTTCTTAGTACGGCTGGTCATTGAGTTTGGGGAATTTCGTTTCTTCCTTTTCCCAGGCCTGATATCAGTTCCAGTTTCCTCTCCGTCTTCGACAACTGACTCGACGTCACCCTCGCCACCTGTGTCCATCTCCTCGACAAACGTGTCGGCTTTTGCTGGTGAAACCGCTGTCACACTCGTCTTCATCACGATATTACCGTGTTGTTGTTGCATCTCCTGCCATTCTTGGTCTAGTTCTTTGAACCTCCTCAGGGCACTGCAGATGTTCGTCGACTTCGACTTGATCTTCTTGTGGACATTTTGCTTGGTTTGGAGAAAGTCCTGCAGTCCACTAACTAGCTTCTCCAGATGTGCCAGCGCATCTGTCCTCTTCATCTTTGTACTAAGTAGCAGTGCGTCTTGCTGGGCATGAGGCCCGTTTTTACTCTTGTTTGTTTCCTGTGCATTTCTCATACTTTTTAATTTACCAGCGCATCGTACGGAGTGAAGCGGGTCGCCATAACTAGGAATGGGTGTACCCTCGGAGATAGTACTCCTACCCCAGTTCCCTGAGGCCTAGCCGACACTTAGCCAGTCCCGGAATACACGGACGGACTAGACTCGCTCGGAGCGGTGAAGATTCCGATCTCTAACACTCACTGCGTACTTCCTGATCAAGGCCCGAAGTGGCTGGCTCCTGATCCACTGGTGCAACTTACACCTCGGCAGAGCAAGCTCACATCAGCCGTGGCCTGCATCGTCGGAAACTACGATACAGGTTCCGGTCATTCCCAGTGGGTCACAGCAGAGAACGATCGTCGTGTTAGGTCAGTTAGTGCGACCAACCCATTAAAGGGGAGTTTTGTCCACGGGAGCGTATTTTGGTTGGTTATTTTGCTTGGCTCCTACCCGCTGTACCTCATCAACTAAGAGATTAAGTGTCATCCAAGGACAGCGAGCGTTCTCCCACCCGCTCGGGGAGACGCGCCCGGTAGCAGTATCTCTTCTGCCCCGAGTGGGTGGGTGTGTGTGTGTGTGTGGGTGTGTGTGTGAATTGCTTATAACTTTTGAACGGTTCGATAGATTTTATCGCGGTTGGCACCATTCGAAAGGGCTTCGCTATAATTAGATTTTGAATACAATTTGAACCGATTCAGACTGGTAAATTTTGAGAAATCTAAAAAAAAACTAAGAAAAAAATTAGGAAAACGGTTGACCCTAAAGGCCATCCCTGCAACTTCCCGCCAATTCTATACCTAAACGCTTGAAATTGCACTTATGACGTTTTTGAGTTCTTCGAGCTCATAAATACAATTTGTGTGTTATTTTGAGCTCTCCGAGCTCAAAAAAATAGCTTTTGTATGCTTTAGAGCGGTTACGCGACCGGAGATCCTAGGACATTTGATCCGCGATGCTATATCAGCGTCATATGTCCGTGACAAATTTGGGAACTGGGCGAATAAAGGATAAAGGGAAAGGGGGGGACCTATTTTTACTCAGTAGGAATTTTTTTTGGTAACTGAAAAAATATAATTCGAACAGCCCGGACCGGGACTCGAACCCGGATCGTTCGGTTACGCACCAAAAGCTCTACCAGTTAAGCTATCCGAGACACTCCGTAACTACTATTCAGTCACCTATTAAGATCTGACTGAGTAAACACCACCGTCCGTCTTACGATAAATAACAAATAATTAATTTGTAGTTAAATTTGTCGTATAGACAGGTCAGTGATATAGTCACGGATGTAATGTCGCGCGGATCTTCGGTCGCGTAACCCTTTTGAGCTCTTCGGGCTCAAAAGTTTGATAGAAGTTTGATAAAACACTATTTTTTGAATTTTCAAATTGCAATAACTTTTGAATGAATGAACCGATTTTCACGTGGTTGGTGGCATTCGACGCAGTTTTTTAGGCTTCATGAAGAATCTTCAAATTTAAATTGATAGAACGAAAAATTTCGGAGTAATTCCGAAAAAACTCTTTTTTCGGTTTTCTTTCGCCAAGGATAACTCCCGAACGAATCAACCGATTTTGACCGGACTGGCGGCGATCGACGTGGTTTTTTTATGTTAAGAGCTGATTAGTATTTAGTATTTAGTTTAAGAGTTAAACGGTCAAGCCGTTTAAAAGTTATTAAAAAAAAACCACATTTGAAAAAAATTATTTTTGTACTTTTTTTGTGATTTCTCAAAATCTACCGGTCCGAATCGTTCCAAACTATATTCAAAATCTAAGTTCAGTCAAGCCCTTTCGGATGGCACCAACCGCGATCAAATCAGTGAAGCCGTTCAAAAGTTATGAAAAGTTTACATAAATCCACAAGAAAGTATAGTATAGTACACAGTACGAGTAGGACGTGTTTTTTCTTGCTTCGTTTGATTTTAATAATTCGGTCATTATATGTGTCCAAGTTTTTACTGAGTAAATTCAGGATTAATGTTTTTTATTCACCGATCTATGTGTATATAATTTTTAATTGTGCAATTATCTGTTTGCGGAATTTTTACAATTTGATGTGTGTTATTTTATTTGAGGTTGGACAAGTCCTATTACTCACTACATGCATTAATGACTTTTCTTGTGTTGCGATAGTGTTCGTGCTGCCATCTATTGGTTACTTCTAATAACAGTCACTTCTTATCTATTCATCATGTCGTGTGCAATGTGTTTTACAGCATGTGATGATAATGAACATTGTATCAAAGCAAGCTGTCACTATCATCACAGATTTCATCCGGGATGTTTAAAGTTGAAATATAATTTTGCGTCCTCTGCTGAAGCGGTAGAATCGATCAAAACAAAGTGCCCGGTTTGCTCTGAAAATGATTTAATGAGTACGCTATCGGCGTTGAAAGTCCATTTGTCGAAGCTTGATAAACTAGACAAATTAGATGGCCTTCAAAATTCTGCGGGTCAGTTACTCAAGAAAGTTGACAAAATATCAGACAAGCATCGTGAATTATTTAAACAGTACACTGACTTGGAGACTAGAGTGAATCAGTTGGAGAAAAATAATTCTAGTGGCGCTTGTTCAAAGAATTTAGCTGATAAGGTTTCTAAGGCAGCGGATTTATAAGTAAGGTGCAACTTTGAGCAGAGAACACTGCAGATGGAAACTCTGGCTCTTGCTGATGAGATGACTATCTCTGGTCTACAAGAAAAAGATGATGAAGATTTCAATAATGTTTTGGATAATCTGTTTTCAACATTAGGCATTCCAGGAGATCACTCAAAAGTGAAATCCATGAGAAGAATTGGAAAGGCTGCTGATCAGCAAGGAGCTCGACTGACAAGAGCTACAACTGTTAAAAACAGAAACCGTGATATCTTGGTGAAATTTGGTTCAAAAGATACTGTAGATTTGATAATCAACAAATCTAGGAGTGTTGCTAACAAACGTGGAGGTGGTGTGTCTTTGTATATTAAAAACTCTCTTTCTTCAAGGTTTGTTCTAAGTTCTACCTATATGCCTGATCGTCCAGAATACCTGTTCATGGAAATCTGGCACTCTTCAAGACAAAAAATTTTGATAGGTACTGTATACAATCCGCCGGCTTCTCAATCACTGGAACTTCTTCAAGCGGACTTGGATGACATTATGCCACATTACGTACACGTTATCTTGCTTGGTGATCTAAATATTGATATGAATGCTGCGAGTGCTAACAGAAAGTCTAATATCTTTTTGGAACTCTGCGGATGCTTAGGTTTACAGCTAATTACCTATGAATCAACTATAACATAGATTTAGTTTGCTCGTCGAGGCAATCTTAAGAGCCATTCCTTGCAGATCATGATTAAATTTTCTTGCAATACAACTATAATGCACCTGTGCGGAATCGGCGGAAGAATAAATGCAGAAATTGGTCTTCTATTGATGATGATATGCTAAAAAATGTATGTACGAACCTTGATTATTTGAGTATTGTTAATGCTGATTCGGTGGACTTGATGAATGACTGTTTGCACAGTTGTATTGATGATGTCATTGAGCGAGTTGCTCCACTAAGGGAGGTGAGTATTCGCGATCGATCGGCACCTTGGATAAATAGGGATATTAAGGACCTTCAACGTCGGCGCTCAAAACTTTATAGAATTTTCAAGAGATCTGGGTATGCTTACAAGGAATATGTGTGCTTGCGGAAATTAATCAAGCGCAGAATATCAGAGACTATGAAGAACTATTTTGCCTGTCGGTTTCATGATTGTAAAAATGCGAAGTCAATTTGGAATGATTTTCGTAACCTTGGTTTAGTTAAGAAGAATGACTCAACTAGTGATCTTCATGTTGACCTTAATGAACTTAATGAGTATTTTATCACTGCGGCAATTAAAGATGGAAATGATATTGATTATGTGTACTTGAATGCGTGCGTTATAAGGTCTCAGAGCTCATTTTCTTTCAAAAATGCTGAATGCATAGATGTTAGAAAGGCAATCATGAGGTTAACTTCCGGGTCGATGGGCCCAGATGGTTTTGCAATTAAAACTTAGAAAATCTTATTGCCCTATTTTTTAGAGGTCATTACTAACTTTTTCAATCTCTCACTCTCGGTTGGCTACTTTCCGTCGGCCTGGAAACTACTATGAAGAAAATGCAGAGAAATATCAAAGTTTTTGTGTGTCGGTTCAGCTCTAATATACTAGCTCATACTCAAATCACGTCTATTGAAAAGACAATCACAAGTTCCAACACATTTATTTCTCTACCTTGACACAGTTTTATATGCTGCGCATTTGGTCTCTTAAATTAAATTAATTAAAATAATAAACTAAACAAAATGAAAACTAATTAATACCAAAAGGGCGCCACCAGGATTTTTAATCACGGTTCCTGGAACCGGAATCAAAGCTGAGCTTATCTTACAGGGAGAAAGAGTGGAGGAAGGTGATCTGAAATAAATAAATTTTTATTTAACAACGGTACCAAAAATTTATTGATAACAAAAATTATTTAACAATTGTGCACGCTTATACACACACTATAACAACTTAAGACTACATTCTAACTAACGGCTGATCAGGACCCTTATCTAAGTAGCCAGCGAAGCACCTCACACAGAGACTGTTGTAGGCGAGGGGACGCTGTTTAACACGTAACTCACTAAACCCAGAACTGACTTGACTAACTTAACTTAACTAAGTAGCCAGCGAAGCATCTCGCACAGAGACTGTCGTATGCGAGGGGACGCTGTTAACATTCACACACTCATACCCCTTAAGTAACTAAGTAGCCAGCGAAGCACCTCACTCAGAGACTGTCGTATGTGAGGGGACGCTGTTAACACACACACACACTCATACCCTGCAAATCTTCACACACATAACCCACACGTCTTCACACACACACACACACACACACACACACACACACACACACACACAC